CATATCAAAGGCCGCGGTGTAATCTACGTCATCATGGTCCCAGGGTATTTGTTTTCTGCTGCAAATGTGTTACATCTGAGGTGAGCCTGGAGTGTTAATCATTTTTGTTTTATAAACGCAGCCCGTTTTGCGGTCTTCCTCGCTTTGCCCAAGCAACGCAGGCAACTATCCCCCTTTGATAGCCGGAAGCTCTGAACCAGCGTGCAAGACTCTAATTCACCTTATGAAGTAGTCTCCAATATTGAATTTCGCTAAGGCCTCAAACAGATAATTACAGTCCAACACATCAAAGGCGGCAGCGTGATTTAACGCCATTAAGGTTCCGGAAATTTGTTTGTTGTTGCGTAACGCACGACATCAGAGGCGAACCTCGGATTTTTGCTGGTCAATATCTCTGTATTTAATACACGCTATCGACTGTCGTGACGCTAGCTTATGTATCTATTTGCTAAGCCTGCATGCAAGCTGTTTTGATACAGTGCACTATGGGCCAGATTGGCTCCAAAACTGGAATTCAGTAAGTAACTGAGACAATTTGCTGTAATTTAGCACCACACATTGTCCAGCTCATTTGTTGAGCTAGCTAAGCTAGTTGTTCAAGAGTAATTCGAATCTGCAATCTATCTGGATTTTAAAAGTCACATTACTGACCTTTTCCAGGTAAAATCAAGGTCACTGGCCTGAGACGTCATGCCCGACAACATTCATCAGAATCACTTTGCTTGAAGAGGACTCGGAAACACCGGATTCAAACGTAGCATTATTTTCAAGCTACTGATGATCAAAACAGTTATATGGTACATGTGCGCTGTGCGTAACAAAGCAATCACATAAGCTCGCTAATTGGTGGCCAGCCGAGCCGAGCCGGTGCCGCTCGAGCTGTCTTTTACTACAGATCACGAAGCTCCTGGAGGGTCGTGTTGAACAAGAACGAGCGCCAATTCCGATAGTGGCCTGTTGCCCCTGACAGTCCGCTGCCAACGCACACCCTTCACCGCTGAGGAGGTCATGGGGTCACTCGTACCCATCGGGAGCGCGATCCGTTTGGCGATGTCATGCAGTCGAGAGCCTCTAGCGCGTCTCACACGGCACTGAGGAGGTCATGGGGTCAGTCGTAACCAGCAGGAGCGCGATCTGTTTGGCGACGTCGTGCAGGCGAGAGCCTCCAGCGCGTCCCACACGGCACATTAATGGGTCCTCACTGCCAGTCTCCTGCGCCTCTTCACTGAAGAGTTCGAGTGGAAGTGGATGCGCGGCAATGACGGCAGCCCGTGCAGAAATTACCCTGTGCTCAGATACGGGCATCGAGTACCGCGGCTAGAAGTTCACGAACAGTTCGTGTGTTTCGTGACAGAAGGCACCGAAATCCGCATCTTCTACTGGATATCCGGAAGCCATGGCTCCCAGTACTGCATTCAGGTGTCGGATCAGGCGCTCGCCGACTCCAGCGACCTCAGCGACGGTCTCGCTGTCTGCCAAGGCTCGCTCTTACCTTGCTTCTTTGTGAGAGCCATGCCAATTGTAATG